CCCCTGCTGCTGCTCCTCCTCCCTCTGATCCAGATGCTATTGCTGCTCATCTCTATTCCCCGCCTCGCCCTCACCCCCCCTCGTCCCACTCCTCCTCCCGCTCCTTGTCCTGGTGCGCCGTGCAGGTGCATTGCCATCTGATGCACTACCTCCTGGAGCTCAGCCTGATGGACATTCAGATGATCAGGTGGGTAAGCGGAAGGAGGTCGAGAGGGTGGGCAGGCGGGCAACTGCGCGGGTCGCGGGCGGGGTGGGATGGGGTGGGATGGGGTGGGATGGGGTGGGTGGGTGGGTGGGTGTCTGTGTCTGTGTCTGTGTGTGTGTGTGTGAGTGTGTGTGTGTGTCTGTGTGTGTGTGTGTGTGTGTGTCTGTGTGTGTCTGTGTGGTGTGTGTGTGTGTCTCCGTGTGTGTGTGTGTTGTCTGTGTGTGTGTGGTGTGTGTGTGTGCGTGTCTGTGTGTGTGTGTGTGTGTGTGTCGTGTCTGTGTCTGTGTCTGTGTCTGTGTCTGTGTCTGTGTCTGTGTCTGTGTGTCGTCGCTGCCCCTCGAGCTGTCGCCTGCCGCGCGCGTCGCCTCGGCCTCTCCGCCTCCCCGGCGGTCTCCCCGCGGTGCCCCACGCCCGGGAGGGCCAGCGTGGGTGGCCGCGGAGCGCCGGCGCGCATCGGGGGGGGCGGGGGGGCGGAGGCCCAGGGGGGGGAGCCAGGCTCGGGGATCCTCCTCCTCCTCCTCCTCCTCCTCCTCCTCGTCCCCATCCTCCTCCTCCTCCTCGGAGGGGGGGCGGGGCGGAGGCCGCGGGGGGAGCCAGGCTCGGGGAGCAGAGACTCGGCGGCGGGCGAGGGGGGAAAGTGAGAAGGAGAAGGCCTTCTCAGAAGGCGGCGGGACTTCTCAGAAGCCCTCGGGCCTTCGGAGAAGTTTTCTTTGTCTTCGGGGAAGGTTTAGAAAACTTCTCAGAAGGCCGTGGAACTTCTGAGCCTTCTGAGAAGGCCGGCCCCGTCTCAATTCCCCCCGGGCGCGCCGCCTAGAGACGGCCGAGCGTGGCGCTCGGGAGGCCCAGCGGCAGCTGCTGGCCGAGGCGCCGTGGAGGCCAGTGCCCAGAAGTTGGGGAACAAAAAGTGGCATAAACATAAAATCTCAGAGGTCCGCGCGGATTTCTCGGATCCGCGCTGGGGCCCCCTGGCGGGGTCTCCGGAGCCGCCCCTGGCGCGCTCCGCGCGCCAGGGAGGGGGCTCCAGCGTGGATCCGAGAAATCCGCGCGGACCTCCGTGTTTTTATGTTTATGCCACTTTTTGTTTCCCTAAGGAGTACCCTGCTTGCCTCCCCAGGGTGCCCCGGGCTTCTCGGGTTGCGCTGCTTCTGCGACGGAGAGCGCGGCGTCCCCGCACCAAAGGTCAGTGGACGTCCTGGGGTCTCAGGGTCGGGTTTCCTGTGGAAGGTGTCTTGTGGACTGGCCTCCACTGTACGCAGGATCCTGGGGTGGGCCTTCGCGGGGGCCTCTGTGGACCTCCGCGGCCCTGTTATGCAGGCGATTTCGACCGGATTTCGGCCACGCTGTTCACCCTTTCGTCCAGATGTCCTCCAAATGTCGATCGAATCCGACGAGATCCAGACGAAATCCCCAAAACTGTAAGGAATTTGGGCACCCTCTCAGACTCCCGTGAAGGACCACACAGAAGGACCTGCTCGCTTGATCCCGCTCTGTCTGGCGCGGTGCTCGACGTGGGCGGGTCCCAAGGGCAGGACGAAGGACGCGATGTGCTGTAGCTCGTCATGTGCCATCTCCTTGAGCCTGACCGTGGTAACCCGAAGGGCGGTGGCTTGTGTCGGCGGCAGCTGGGTCCAGTCCGCAGCCTTGTTCAGAAGGGCGGGGGGCTGGGTCCTTCTCTCCATCGTGGGCCCCGCCCAGGTGAGAGGGGGTGACGTGTGCTTGTCCAGGTGACGTGGCCGTGAGTTGGGTGGACACAGCGGACGTTGCGGTTTGATCAAGACGCTTTGCCGCACGGAAGTACACCCGTTCGAGCTCGGGGAACATGTTGCCTGCGATGACGACAGTCCCAGCGCGCTCCTGTGCCCGCGTGTTGGTGTCCCTGACAAGGGATCCCTCAGCCAAGAGGTGACTTGCGAGGAAGCGAGCCTTGCGTTGCTACCCCTCCCACATGATGCTGACATAGGTGTCACAGAGAGTTTCCAGGCCTACAATCAGGTGCCCCCCCTTTTAGGGTCAGGAACGACCGCGAGGATCACGAATTGCACCTGTAGACTTCCCGAGGCAGAGAAGGTGGAGGTCTCTCCAGAGCGGCGCGTCGTGCGGGTGCCCGATCGTTCGAGGTGCGCCTGTCGCGCCGCTGCGAGAGGCATCCCCCCTCGCTTGACGGCCTGCCTGTCGATCGCGCCTGCCCAGAGCCCCGACTCGTCAAAAAACCACGACGGTGGCGCCCACGGCGTGGTAGAGATCGGTGCCCTGGCTGGGAGGCGCAGTCCAGGGATGTGCGGCAACCTCCACGGCCAACACGCAGGCACACTCGATGCCCCGTCGACTCGCGAGGTGTCTGGAGCGGCAGCGACAAAGCAGGGAAGCTCCACGTGTGATTCCAGGCCGCCCAGATGGGGTCGGAGGGTCGCGCCGCATCGCCGATGTATCGGCGACGCGGCTCGATGTGGAGCCCGATTTTCTCCACGCCGACGTCGCCGATGCATCGTCGACGTCGCCAGCGCATCGCCGATGCGTCGGCGATGCGGCGCGATCCTCCGACCCCACCTACTCCGACACCATCTAGGAGGCCTCTACTCTTAAGTCGGGCATGTCCCTCTACAGGGAGGACAATTCCCAACTAGTCAAAAAATAGTCTGGGGACGATTTTTGGAGTATTTTGAACCAATGCGGATGATTTTTGGACTATTTTCAGTTTTCGTTGAAAATCCTTCTGTAGGAGGACATGCCCAACCTAACTCTACAGTCGGGGCCCTGAAGAAGGAACCCTTTTCGTTGGGGAGGGGCTCCGTGTTCCTTAAGTGTTTCACAGCTTGCCTAGGATTTTCCTTATGTTTTCGATACGAAATCGAAGTTCAACTTATGGAAAATAGGGGCCTCGTTCCTTATTTAGGGTTCCTTAGGTCAACGCCCCGACTGTATTCCCACCACGCGTGAGCTGTGCGATGATTGGCCGCTCCCAGGACGGGGGGCGGGGGGGCGGGGGGGCAGTCGAGCCCTGGAGGGGGGTGGCTCGGGAGCTGCCGTCGTCGGGCGGCCGGTCGCCTCTTTTGGGGGAGGGGGTGTCCACTCGCAGGGAGCAGCGGCAAGCCCTTCCCCGAAGGGGAAGACTCTGGGCCTCCTAGACTTGTGGAGGACGATCAGTGGAGAGGAAGCGTGCTGCCAAATGATTTCCAAATGTCTAAATGATGTTTCAAACATGTTTTAAATTCGTAAAACATGTTTGAAACATGTTTAGAACATATCTTACACTTAATTCAATGATCGGATTGTTAGAGTGTCCATTGTCATGGCATCCACAATCCTAGACAGGGTCCGAGTAGATGGGGTCGAAGGATCGCTTCGCATCGCCGATGCATCAACGATACGGCTCGATGTGGGTCTCGTGTTTCCCCGCGCCGACGTCGCCGATGCATCGGCGATGCAGTGGTGATGCGGCGCGATCCTTCGTCCCCATCTGCTCGGACCCCAGGGAAGCAGGGGGCTGGAAGAGGAAACTCTCTAATCGGGAGCTGGGAAATGTACACTACCAGTGGCGGGCTTTTTTTTCACTCCCAGGACTTTTGGAGGGTCGGGCACGACGTCGGGGTGGTGAGGTGTTTACGCTGCTTCCCCGGCGTGTGCCGGGGAAGCAAATCAACATGTATACACCAGGATCCCGCATGCACCAGGATCCGCTTTCCTGCGTGAGTTTCAGTGCGGGGAAGCAAACAGCGTCGGTGTACAGAGTTCGGTTCCTTCTGTGAACCACTCGCGCCCCAAAGGGCTGGTGGGATTTGTCCGGCAGTCCGTCCGCATGCGCAGGTGTTCGGTCTCGCGCAGGCGCTGGCCCGAACGCGCGGAGCACCTCCTCGCGAGCGCGCTGCGGCCAGGCATCGTGTGCGTGTGTGTGTGTGTGTGTGTGTGTGTGTGTGTGTGTGTGTGTGTGTGTGTGTGTGTGGGTGCGTGTGTGTCTGTGTGTCTGTGTGTATGTGTGTGTGTGTGTGTGTGCGTGCGTGCGTGCGTGTGTGCGTGTGCGTGAGTGTGTGTGTGTGTGTGCTCAGCGTAGGCGTCCCGGTACGCTGCCGCCGCCGCCGCCGCCCGCTGCGGGCCGTCGCTTGGCCAGGCTGGCGTGTGGCTCGGCATGCCCTGGGGCAGGCGCACAGCACCCACCGGGAAGGGATGGGAAGCGGGGTGTGCTCCTGGGACTAGCTCGGGCATGTCCCTCTGCAGGAGGACCTCAGTCAACAAGTAATCAAGACATCGTATGGGGAGGGTCCTTCGATTCTTTTCGAGCATATCTCGAATCTGTTCAGTTTCTGTTTTTTTTGCTTTGCTTCGAAGGTCCGCCTGTAGGAGGACATGCCCGACCTGATCCTGGGACCGGGCCGGGATCCAGAGAGGCCTTCGGCTCGTCCCTCGCTCGTGCCCCAGCTCTCCCGCTTCGGCTCCTCCGCGGCCCAATCTGGCGGCCTGGCCAGCCTCTGCCCCTCGTTGCTTCCCTGTCTGCACACCCTCTGCCCCGCACCCAGGAGGAGGCGGAGGAGGAGGAGGAGGAGGGAGGAGGAGGAGGAGGAGGAGGAGGGGAGGAGGAGGAGGAGGAGGAGGAGGAGGAGGTAGGAGGAGGAGGAGGAGGAGGAGGAGGAGGAGGAGGAGGAGGAGGAGGAGGAGGTGGAGGAGGAGCCCCCCCCCCCCCCCCTTCCCCCCCCTTTTTTGACTCCCCACGACGCTGCGCCCAGCTGCAAGGTACGAGCCCTCCCACTTGGTGGCGGCAGCCACCCTGCTGAGCAACAAGCTCATGAAGCAACCCTCGTGGAGGGGGGGGGGGTCCGCGTATTAGTAACTCGGTTTCTTCTTCTCCTCCTCTGATCTGTTTCCTCACATCGCCGTCCTTCCCTTCGCCCCTGTCCTCTTCGTCGTCATCCTAGTCCTTTTCACCCCCTCACTGTGGCTCGAGCTGCAGCGCCTGTCTTCGCTGCGAGGGTAACCGTTTCATCCACTCGTGTCGCAGCACATTATATGGACATCGCACCGTCTCGCGACGCCTCGACTTGCCTTCTCTCGACGACCCGTGCACGGCCAGAGCCCAGTCAGGGCCCTTGACGCCACTCTCGACATCGGGCGCAGCTCGTCATGGCCTCGTGCCCTCAGCACGAGGCCTCGATCCGTCTCCTACCTCGACGACCTCTGCGTGGCCCGAGCCCAGGCGGGGCCCCAGCGCCAGGCTGAAGAAACGTCGGGGCCCAGGGGGAGGTCACTGCCGACGCCTGAGCTCCTGTGTCGGCCTATGCGGGCCAGCCGTCGTGAGGCGCCGTCGGCCAAAAAGCGCCGCGCTTCCTCCTCAGATTGAGCTCGGGCGTGCCCCTCTACAGGAGAAATCTTCGAGAACAGTTGCGCACAAGTCTGGGGACGATGTTTCGCGCTCTGTTGACTTCTGTTGAGCATGCTATGACTATTTTTCCAACCACCCTTTGGTGATGGGCCCTCGCTGTGAAGAGACAGCGCCCCGCGTTCTCCTCCCGCCTCCTTCCTCCCTCCTCCGCCCTCCTTCCATCCTCCCCCTCCTTGCCTCTGTCCTCATCGTCATCTCATCTTCTTCTTCTTCTTCTTCTTCTTCTTCTTCTTCTTCTTCTTCTTCTTCTTCTTCTTCATCATCATCATCATCATCATCATCACCAGTGTCCACAGTGGAACAGGCCGCATGCGGTCTACCCCCATTTCGACAGACCCTTCACACGCTTCGTGGCCCCATAGGGAGCTCCACCGAAGGCCCCAGTGGTACAGGTCGCATGCACTTCCACCCCATATTTCGGAGCACCCCTTACACGGTTCGTGGCTCCATAGGGAGCTCCACCGAAGGCCCCAGCGGCACAGGCCGCATGCAGTTCCATCCCCCATTTCGGTGCACACCTCACACGTTTCGTGGCTGCATATGGAATCCCACCGAAGGCCACAGTGGCAGGTTCCGCATGCAGTTCTACCCTCAGTGTCGGTGCACCCCTCGCACGCTTCATGGCCCCATAGGGAGCTCCACCGAAGGCTCCAGTGGCACAGGCCGCATGTAGTTCCACCCCCCATTTCGGCGCACCCCTCACACGTCTCGTGGCCCCATGGTGGGCTCCACCGAGGGCCCCAGCGGCAGGGTCCGCATGCACTTCCACCCCCCTCATTTCGGCGCACCCCCCCAACAGGGAGCTTCACTGAAAGCCCCAGTGGAAAAGAACGTATGCCGCCGACAGGCCACTTTGGCACACCCCTCTAACGTGTCGTGGCCGCATAGTGGAATCCACCGAAGATGGTACTCACAACTGCGGTACTTATCACTGCTTATGCTTGGGTCCTTCGCCAGGCTAACTAAGTTTTCTTCCAAAACCCGCCTCTATAGGAGGACATGCCCGACCCAGCCTTCTATCGATTTCCGAGGGAGATTGCAGGGCTAGACCGGCTGTCTAGCAAAAATCTGGCTCCGAGAGCCGGTGGCAAGTCTCGGGGTCTGTAGCGACCGCGAGGTCCAGGGGGACGATCTCGGATGACACCGACTGGCCAGCTGGTGCCGAGTGCAGGCCTTCCGTGCAGCCCGGGTGCGTACTGCGCAGCCCCTCTGAGTAATGCTACCTCTCGCTGCCCGACGCGCGCGGGGCTTGAGGCGCTGCCCACGACGGGGTGGCCCACGCCAGGAGGGCTGCAGCGGGCGTCGGGAGAGAGACTTGGAGTTCAGCACCCTCCTGCTCTTTACAATTACTCAATATGAAAATACTCTCCCTCTTCCCCTGATGGCGTCCGGGTGATGGCCGCGCACCCTCCGCGTATTGTTTTTTTACACACAGGATTCCCGGGAAATCCCGGGAAACGACTCTCGCTGAGGCGCCGTCGTCATTTTTCCCCAAAATGCTGCTCTCGTTGAGGCGCCGGCCTCATTTCTGCTCCCGAATCGTTCCGAATCGTGCTCCCGCTGCAGCGTGGGCCTCATTTTCGGATCGGTGTTTGGCCTCCGTCGTTCAGGATGGCGTTCTCGCCCCAGCGCGGGCCTTTTTCTCGCGCGCCCATCCGCCCGCCACCACCGCGCCGCACGCCACCACCACCACCACCACCACCACCACCACCACCACCACACCACCACCACCACCACCACCACCACCACCACCCACCACCACACAACCAGCACCAGCACCAGTACCACACACCACCACCACCACCACCACCACCCACCACCACCACCACCACCACCACCACCACCACCACCACCACCACCACCACACCACCACCACCACCACCACCACAGCACCCACCACACCAGCACCAGCACCACCACCACCACCACCACCACCACCACCACCACCACCACCACCACCACCACCACCACCACCACCACCACCACCACCACGCACACACGCACGCACGCACGCACGCACGCACGTGCACCAGCACCCATTGCGCACGCGCGCGCGGAGCCACAGGTCCGCTAGGACACGCGTCCGCGGATAGAGAACATCAGCGCCATGGTAAGGGATGGGAGGGAGGGGTAGGACGTCAGATATGACGCGAGCGCACCTAGCTTGACTCTCCCCCTCTCCCTCCCCCCCTCCCGCCATGGCCAAGGAGACGCAATCTGTGGGGGATGCGCCCTTCAGTTGGCCCAGGCGGAGCTCGTCGTCCTCTGCCCGCGCGCAGAGAGATCGCCTCCGACTGGCGCCCCCCGTCTCAGCTTTGCGACCCGCAGGTCCCACCCCTCGGGGCTGCCGTGACCTGTAGTACGAGGCACATCCAGAAAGCATCGGCCTGCCGGCATGTGCCCCACGGACGTTTCTTACCCCTCAATGGCCCCAGAGACCATCAGAAGTTCTGGGGCACCTTGCCAAGATGTTTTAAACCAGAGCTTCTTGTCGCCCGTGCCTGCCGTAGCCTCCCTTCCTCTCCCTCCCCTCTCTCTGCCTCTCGGCACCTCCATCCCCCCCGCCCTTCCCCCTCCCCTCTCCGACCCGACGAGGCCTATACGCATACGCAACAAAAAGCAAAAGCAGAAACAACCCCAAAAAACCCAAAACGAGCACGCCAGCCCCAGCCGCAGCCCATCCAGGGCCCGTGATCGGCACCCCAGGCACGGAGGACGTGCGCACGGATCCCCCGGGCCCAGGGTGGGCCAGCCTGGCCACGGTCGGCGCACGCCGTCCGCTGGAGCGACGGACGACAACGGGGTCGCCCGCGCCGACATTGCCGCGCGAGCTGCCCGCGGACGATCGCGCGTAGGCGCCCTCGTCTCCTGTGCAGCGTGCCGCGCTGGCGGCCCGCGGCAGCGGCGGCGCAGGGCCGCTGCGTGCCACCTCGCGCAGGACCCGTTCGCTCGCTGCCCGCTTCTCCGACCCGGGCCAGTTTTTTGGTCCGCTCCGGCTCCATTCTGGACTGCCCCAAACCGAGTAGGGGGCATCGGCTACAGAATGGATTTACCCCAAGCGCTACGTGGAGTGCTCGTGGATCTACGGGCATTCTGCTTAGTTTGAGACATTCGATGAGAAGATCAGTCTCGGGGTGCACCAGTGTTGTTAGATGCTCGTTTGGGGGACCTTCTTGGAGCCCACCTAACGGATCTGTTCGACCCCAGTTCGACTCAAGTTCGACTCAATTTTGACTCAGGTTCGACTCAGGTTCGACTCGGGGTCGACCCAAATCGACGGACGTTCGACGCAGCTTCGACGCACGAGTGGAGCGAGTGGCTCCAGGAAGGTCCCCAGAATGAGCATCCAAGTGTTGTAGTCGATCCCCTATTCGGCCCAAGGGCCCAATGGCGTCGGGCCCGAGGAGGAGCCGAACGCGAGGAGGAGCGCCCGGACCGAACCTAAAGATGTCAGACCGTCGGAGAGCGGGGCGCACCCCCCTCACACCGATACCGCTGCTCCTAAGTCGGGCATGTCCCTCGACGGGAGGAATCTTCAAAGACAGTTACATCGGGGGTGGACAGACCTCCCAACAGTGACACGTCGATCAGTGAATTGTCCGTTTTCGGTTCTCGAGAGGGCGCCGTGGCCGTGATTTTCCAGGCTTGCGCCCGCCAGGTTTGGGCCCCAGGTCGTTTTCACTAAACTTTTTTTTACTAAAGGGGGGTCTGTCCATCCCCGATTAAACAAATATCATGGGGGCGATTTTTCGGCTATCTTTGACCATGGTTGAATATCAATCGGACTGTTTCTAAGCATCTTGTTCCTTCCCATGTCCGCCTTCAGGAGGACATGCCCGACGTAACGCTACTCCCCATGCCTCTCCCGGGGCGCGCTCTCCGGCCAGCATTTCGAGGAGCATCCGGCTGTGGCAACAGGGGCTCTCCAGGAGGAGCAGCGGCATCCGCACCCCTTCCTCCTGGGAGGTGGCGCCCCCCCCCCCCCCGCCTCCTCGCCCCTTAGGGGCCGGGCAGCGGGCCGGGCCTCGGAGGCCGAGGTCGAGGCACGACGCCCAGCACGGAGCCATGAGATCGTCGGAGATCGGAGCGTACCAGTTGGTTGGACGTTCGCTTCGGGGGCCTTCCCGGGGGCCCACCCGGCGGACCCGTTCGACTCCACTGCGACCCCACTTCGGCTCCAGCTCGGCTCAAAAGGTCGGCCCACGTTCGACGCAAGTTCGACGCAGGTCGGCGGACGCTCGACGCAGCATCGGCGCGCGAGGGGAGCGAGCGGCTCCGGGAAGGTCCCCAGCACCAGCAGCCGAAGTTGGCGCCTGCCCGCCTCCTCCCTGCCGGCCCCCCCGGCAGGAATTTGTGGTCTCACCATTCTGTCTTGTGTGAAGTATTTAGATAGTCAGGGTTGGCCGGGGGAAGTTGGCCAGGAG